AGGATGATTTAAACCATTCATGAATTAAATAGTTTGCTGTACATGTCTAAAGGAAATCAGCATAATGAATGTCTTCCATGTTCCTTTTAAGTAAAAGCAACCTTCCCCATCAACTTATAGCTACCCCAACCAACTTGAGGAAGAGGAGACTTAGCCTGACTTATGGGTGGCATAAGATAATCATAAGTGGACACGATATAATCAGTCTTTTTCCTCTAACTAATGAGAATAATATGCCAAGTTAAATCAATGATAATTGTAGTCAAGAAGTGGGATGGAGGAAAAATCAGGCAATACAATTAAAAGAGTGTCTGTTGAAGGGTAAGACCCAATAGTATATATATATGAATGAATGAACAAATAAATTCCATGTTCCAGAAATGATTATATTTTAGTGAATCAATAAAGCCAGCATTTTGTGCTTACTGTTTGCAGGCCACTCAGGTAGACCCCGTGCAGAAATTAAAAATAAACGAATAAATAAACTTACAAAAGCTTAGTTCAGGACTATACAGCTTGCTAAGTAGCAGAACTACAATTCAAACTTCAGAGTTCCATTATTCCATGTGGCCTTCTCCAAAATGCCTCAAGGCATTCACATTCCTGGTCTTTACGTGTATTCCCTGAATCTGAACTAGCGTTTTTCCACTAAGCTGGCAACGGTCACCATGAAGTTTAAATTCATATAGCTTCATCTCCAGCTACCCTGTGAAGTTATAGAATCTATGCACTAAATACTTTCTCAATATCTCAACATGGTATATAAAATTTGAAGACTCTTAAAACAATTCCTGACCCTCCCATCAAAAAGGTAATTATGTAAATAAAATAAGCAAGCGAATGAATGAATAAATAAATGCACATAACTTTTCTGATTCCCTGTATCTGTGAATTGCATAGCCTTTACATCAGTTTTGCCAGGTTAAAATGCATTCCTTAGCTCTCTAGGAAGTCATCAAGCCCTATTGATTTTTTCTGTAAATTTCTGCTTCTATCTGTCAGACGCTGTTACCATTTTAGTCCTGACTTTACTGATCTTTTGCTGATGATTGCATTGGTCTATCTTCTTTCTTGGAGCCTCTCTACTCCAATCAACCTCATACCACCACCATATTCATTAATCCAAGGCACATCTCTAATCCACACACACACACACTGTCTCCACACAGACAAACAAAAATTTTCAGTGGCTCCCCAAGTCCTGTCAAATTAAGGCAAATCACTTAGCACAACTCACCTTAACAGTCACTATTGGCCCTAGAGTTATATACCTTGTGCTGTATCCAAACTTAAACTCAAGCTCAGATACTTAAGACACCAGAACCTTACATATACTCTAGGCATTCTTCTACTATCCAACATCTCTGCTAGGCAAAAGGATAGGCATGCTTTAAGGCCCAGCTCAGATACCACCATGTTTATGAAGTTGTCTCTCTTTTTTCTCTGAGACCTCATAGAATGACACTCTGTACCTCTTTTGTAGCCTTTAAGCACTGTATCTCACATTATAATCATTTGGTCATGGATCTTTAAACCAAATATATTCAGTACAAATTTATGAGCAAAGTACTTTGAAAGGTGTGCTAGGGATATAGTAGAGAACAAGACAGCCTCATTCCCCGCGAAAAGCAAAGGGAAGAGAATCTTTCATAAAAAAGGGGAGTTGAGAGGAGTCATTAATGCAGTTGGATGTCCCTAAAGGCAAAATAAGATGACAACTAAAAAATACCTCTTGGATTTAGTGTGATGGAAACATTGATGTTCTTAGCAAGATTTAGCAGTATAGAAGTAGAAGTGGTTTGAGGAGTGAGGGGGAGGAAAGACAAGCAGACAGCAAGTTAAGACTTTAAGGAAAGTTGTATATGAGGGAGTAGTAGCTGGTGGAAGAAGTAGGTCAAGGAAAAGTTTTTTGCCGATTTATTTTTAAGATGAGAAATATGAGCATGGTTAGATGAAGAAAGTTCCAATAAAGAGGGAGTAGTTGAGGATACAAAAGAAAAGAAAAAATGTCTCTGGAATGGCCAGAAAAAGTGAGGTTTAAACACAGGTGAAGGAACTGGCCCTTATGTGAGGAGAATCTCCTCCACTGTCTACCACAGAGATGTGAATCACCCCAGATTCAAGAACAATTTTAGGTGTGTTGGTGAAGCTGAGGGAGGTATGACCCCCCACCTTCAAAAAATGTCAAAAGATAATAATCCTTATTTCTCTCTTTAATCATAAAATGGGTTCTTATAACCAAAAAGGAAAGAATGTAGGTTTAATATAAAAATTTCAAAAGAAAATAGTTTCCAGTATTAATAAACAAACAGGCTTATATATTTGTTGTAGGGATATTGATAGTAAAGAAACAGAAAAAATGAGCTAAATGACCCAGTTAGAATTTTTTTAAATAGTTCTTTTAAGTGTTAATTTAAAAGTTTAAAATTATTTTGGTAAATTGTTTTTTAGCAACTAGAACTGCTGCCATCAGATACTTGTAAAAGATCTTCCATCCCCCAAAATCCCTTTTGCAATAGTGGCTTTGATTTCCTCAAATGATAGGAATGATAATTTTAGAAACAATTCTTTCTTCCAATGTCAATAATATTTTCTCTATCCTGGGAACTCTTCTGAAAATAAATACGGACATTTTCCTCTGTGTTATTTATATGAAATAATATTCCTTATTTTCTCATTTTTACTATCACCAGTCACTTCTAAGGTAGGTGACTCTTTAATGAATTTCTTTTTCTATCTTACTTGCACAAAGTGTTATCAAATGTAAAGAGACTTCAGAGATAACAATAACACTGTCCCTCACCCTACGGGAGAAGCAGCGCTAGTCATTTGGCCGGCAAAGACCTTGAAGCTCAGACTAGTGAAAAGACATCCCCAAGACAGCCTGAAACCTGGTGGCATAGTGGTTAAGAGCTACGGCTACTAACCAAAAGGTTAGCAGTTTGAATCCACCAGGTGCTCCATGGAAACCCTACAGGACAGTTCTACTCTGTCCAGGACAGTTCTACTCTGTCCCATAGGGTCACTATGCGTTAGAATCAACTCAACAGCAACGGGTTTGGAAAACACCCTACTGGCATGTTCCAGAGCTGCTTCCCGACTCACATATTCTGATTCCTACTAAAGTGGTCCATGAACTACTCTGTGTTTTCCTCTTCATAAATATTCTCATGAATTATCTGATAATTATTATAAAACCACAAAATAATTTTTAAAACATCTTACCTTTCAAATAGAAGATAAAATTCAAGACTTGTTTGTAGACTTACACAAGGCTATGTAGTTTCAGTTGAAATGTAAAATGGCAAAGACTGAAGAACAACTACACAAAGCAACTAACTGGATGCACACAATTTTTAAATATGATATCTCATTGTTATTAAGGTTCACATTAGGAAACAATAAACTGCTATACAAAGCCAAAGAAAAGTATACAAATTCAAAATAATCCTGCAAATTAAGGAAACGGAAAAGGATAAACATAGCTGTACTATCTAACTTTAGCACCTTGACCACAATCATCAGTCAATATCCTGATCAAACAACGTTGCCTTGATCATTGCTAATTTCAGTCTATTTCTATTCATCATTTATCATTCTGTGTACAAGAGAAAGAAAACACAGTTTCACACGACCTATAAATTGGAGTTACCCTTAACATGTAGGAACCATATCATGCCTGTCATAAGCTAAAAACCTTTTAATGATTCCAATCTCATTCGGAATAATAGTCAATGCCCCACTAAGCCCTGTATGATGGACAACACATCATCCTCCCTGTTTTCATCTCCTATCCTTACTTCCTACTACACTGCCCTTCTTATCATTCCGTCAACACACCAAGCACACTCCTGTCTCGCGCTCGTACACAGGGGCAGATTAACCAGTAAGCAAGGTATACACGAGTTTACAGTAAACAAGGTATGTTTCCCTCCAGGAAAATGAGAGCTCCAGGGGAACAGAAACTTTCGTTGTATGAATGAATGAATGAATGATCATCTTTTTATTTCCTTCAGATGTACAGGAACTTCTCTAAAGAAATAATGGTAGGAAAAAAATTAAAAATTCTTGATTTCTTCCAATATCAATACAAACC